CTGCTAGACGGCACCGACGCGCTGATCACGCCCAAGGATTACACACAGCTTCTCAAGGAAAGGGTTAAACGTGACATAGTGTCAGATGAGTGTTCAGCAGTCGAGGAGACCGAAGCTATAGTAGAGCTGTCAGATGAGGCATGCGAGGAGCAACGGGCGATGGCAGGCGTCATAACCGCGGAGAGCAACAGCGAAGGTTCCGAGCCGGTCAAAAGCAAATGACAGGAGTTTCGTGAGGCTCAGGAAGCAGACCCGGCTTTGCGAGATGCTTAGGTGCAGGCAAAGGCCAGAACGCATGGTATGCTCGTTCAAGACGAGCTATTCTATCATCAGGAACACCTTGCGGGTCGCATCTGCAAACAGCTAGTGCTACCATCGCACAGGCACAAAGAAGTGCTGAAAATAGCCCACGATTCACCATGGGCAGGTCATTTAGGAGAGCGGAAAATACTACAACGAGTGAAAAGCTCATTTTACTGGCCGCAGATGTCGAGAGATGTAAAGGAGTGCTGTAGGTCGTGCCATGGATGCCAGGTGAAATCGCCGACGAGGCAGATAGATAGGGTTCCGATAAAGCCCCTGGCCAGGCCCAGCACGCCGTTTCAGACAGTAAACATGGACTGCATCGGTCCTATGGTACCCCCTTCGGCTAGAGGTCACCGCTATGCTCTTTGTGTCGTAGACTTACATACCAGATGGCCAGAGGTGGTATGCCTCCACTCACTAACGGCAAAGGCTACATGTGACGCGTTACTGCAGATATTTTCTCAACACGGGGTGCCAGAGACAATTTGCTCGAATCAGGGCACCAACTTTATGTCAAGGTTGACACAGGAGATGTTGCAAATACTGGGGGCAACACCGAGATTTTCCACACGCCCGATCACCCGCAAAGCAACGGCTTAGTCGAGCGCTGGAACGGCACGTTAAAAAGAATGCTTATAGTCAGCGAACATGGACGCGAGTGGGATAGGATGATTCCGTTTTTGTTATGGGCATATCGTCAGGTTCCACATGCGACTACAGGGCAGTCACCGTTCGAGCTCATGTACGGGCGGGTGCCGAACGGGCCCCTATCTATTCTCAAAAGGACTTGGTCAGGAGACTGGGAAGTGCCGGAATCATTGGGTATGCCAGCAGCGGAATATCTTGCGAAGCTCGGAAGTAGTTTGGAAGAAGCTAGCGAAGGAGCCGCCCGACAGAGTGAAGTTACGCAGAAGGAGTACGTAGGACGCTATAACTTGAGGGCCACAGACAAACAGTTTGTCACAGGGGACCAAGTACTATGGCTCCAGAAGGAAGGAGAGGGGAAGCTAGTGGCGAAGTGGAAGGGACCGATCACAGTGGTCGAAAAACTGCGACCGTACAGTTATTTATTTGAGCTCGAGGACGGTTCATGCAGAACCATTCATGCTAACAAGCTTCGCGCATATCACGCCCGAGTAACTGCAGTAGGAGTGATATTCGAAGGCGATCAGGAATTTGGAGAGGTTCCGGTCCCACCATGTGGGCTAGAGGTGCAGGCGACGCTGCAGCTTGATGAGGTAGCACACCTGGAGCCCACACAGAGAGAACAGCTACGAGACTTAATCGCGAGGCACCCGAGGATATTCGCAAACAAACCCGGCACCTGCAAAGTGGGAATCCATAAAATGCGAATCAAAGCAGGAGAGCAACCGAGGCGCGCATACCCATACAGAGTGCCGGTGGCGCTGGTGAATGAAGTAGAGAGGCAGGTAAATGAGCTCCAGCAGTGGAGATTGATATACCCGGTTGAGGGTCCGCACGACGCGTATCCACTGGTCTGCGTATCAAAGAAGGACGGTGGCATCCGCATCTGTTGCGATTACAGGAGACTCAACGAAATAACAGAGACAGACGCATTTCCCATGAGCGTGGCGACTGATCTGCTATACCAAGTAGCGAAGGCTAAGTACATAACTCTGTTAGACATGTTCAGGGGTTACTGGCAAATACCTCTCGACGAGGACGCGCAGGTTTGTACTGCTTTTGCCACTCCCTCAGGCCAGTACGCATGGAGAGTGATGCCCTTTGGATTAAAGAATGCCGCCAGTACCTATCAGAGGGTCATCAATAGTGTACTGGCTCCGCATAGACATTATGCTTGCGCTTACATTGACAATGTAGCGATATACTCTGAGAACTGGAACGAGCACCTGGAACATTAAGACAAGGTGCTTGTGTCCCTAGCGAAGGCAGGGTTGACGCTCAACGTAAGCAAATGTCGGTTTGCACAACAAGAAGTAAAATTCTTGGGGCATATTGTGGGATCAGACAAGCACGGGGCCAATCCAGAGAAGGTCAGGGCGATAAAGGAGATCCCGGCTCCCGAAACAAAGGGACAACTTCGTAGTTTCTTAGGGCTAGCCAACTATTATAGGGACTACGTGCCCGAGTACTCCAAAGTCGTTATGCCTCTGACTAACCTAACCGGCCGACGTATTCCGCAGAAATTACCTTGGAATACAGAAGCGCAGAAAGCTTTTGACAAGGTGAAAAATTGTCTAGTGCAGGCGTCGGGGTTGCCGGCACCAGATCCAATTAAAGAATTTATCCTCGCCACAGATGCATCCGATTACGCCGTTGGTGCATGCCTGGCACAGCAGGATCTGGTGGGCAAGGAGCGCCCTATCGCTTTTCTGAGCAAGAAGCTTAGCCTGGCTCAGACCCGATGGGCTACAATAGAAAAGGAAGCTTATGCAATCATTTAGGCACTAGGGAAGTTGGATGTTTGGCTGTTTGGCGCTAAAATCAAGGTGATCACCGATCATAACCCACTCAAATTTCTGACTCTAACCACTCCGCAGAGCGCTAGGCTGACACGCTGGGCGTTGGCACTACAGAAGTATAACCTGGAAATTGAACACAAAAAGGGGTGTCTAAACGCTAATGCCGACGCAATGTCACAGTTGATGACTCCTAACGATGACGCATAAAAGAGACGGCGAGTTAAGGGGGGTGTATGCTTTGTTAGCGTGTGCGCGCGACGGAGTCAACGAGGTACGAGTGACAGTTGGTGCCTCACGTGTCGAGCCAGTGAACATGTGTGCATATGTGGTTGTGTTTGTGTCGCATGTCATAGATACAGTGCAACACAGTTGGAGGGGAGGTGTTGGGCTCGAACTTCGTGCGTTCCCCGAATACCTTTTTGTTACCCACCCCGCGGCCGGCGACCCCTCGCCAACAAGGAAGCAGCGCCACCAAAATGCGGGACGATGACTGCTGGCCACAAAGGACGCGACAGCTCCCCTGCCTCAAGGAGTTCAATTATGGCGCCTTACAGGAGACCAAGCCAGGCTGCAGGTGGCCGGGCCAGGCTGCAAGGATGGAAGGTGCACGTGCGCGTCCGCCGGACAACCAGAATCAACGGAGGCGACGGCATTTGTGCACGGGCCAATTGTATTGATGGCCTGTCAGCCCGGCATCGCGAGAACTTACTCGGAGGCGATTTCCCACGACCCGGCAACACCCGTCGTCAATCATTCCGGGAACCGAGGTGAAAGAAACCTGAACGACGGCGGAGAACCGATGAGTGGGCAAGAGGTGGTGGGTCTTCGAGGTTGTGGCGAGGAGAAATCCGGGCCTGGAACTTTCAACGGCAGCCAACCGGGAGTCGAGGAGAGACACATCCGTGCGTTACGATTGGACTGTAAGAGTGGTTGAATGGGGAGACAGGGGATAAAACCAGGGGTGCAGGGACAGTGCGGAAGAGAAAAAGGAACGAATAAACGTCTCTATATCCAGATGATGTCGGAGCGGGCGTTTCCTCAAGGTGCCAGCAGATGAAAAGTTCTCGTCTTCGGCTTCCTTGGCGGCAGAAGCAAATGTCGCGCAAAAAGCGAGAGGCGAGTGGAAAGAACCAAAACGGAACGTAACTACCTCCAAGTGTGTAGCAATGCAAGACATCCTAAGTATACTGAGCTTTTCTAAAGAGTGCTGCACATGCCTGAACTGACAGTAGCAGCCAAGACATCCAAATAAAGTGAAAAAAAAAATGTCCGAGGCTGTGATGGACAACAATACAAAATTGGATGGGACCGTCTTTCCATACCACTCTTCTTCCTTCTTTTCCCCACTCTGCACTTGTAGCTTCCAGCATGATAGAGGAGTTAAAAGAAATAATAACTACCCATGACTCTCGCTATACATTATAGATGAATTTGTGGTAGGCGATTAGTGAGGTGACACAGTTAAATAGAGAGGTGATCACTTATCACTTGGAGATTGTTAAATTTAAAGAGTACTGTTTACTACTTGAATGGGTGTTGCACCCCACTAACGAAATATCTGATAGTATTGTATACTTTGGAACAGCCCTATATCCAAGGACATGCTATTTTTAGGAGCAAAACTTCTTAGGACCGCACACCTGCCATTGCCATAGAAGCTCCCAGCGCCTGGCAAGTGCGCCGAGCAAAACAACAGGTGTGCACTCCCAGGGAGTGAAGATGTGGCGACAGATAGCTTGCGCTGCACCACATGCCACACACTCACTCAATTAATCGTTTTCACCACCGAGTGCAGCAGATGCTCTCCCCACGCGCTTCCCAGCCTACCATCTTCATGAAGGTCAGCAGTGAGATCAGGCGCATAGTCGTTTAGGTCCAATTTCTAAGGAGCTTCGTTCGTTGGTTGTATTTGTGCACAGAACAACAGCTAGTTTTTTACTGCATATAATTGTTAAGGCAATGTTGCATAACAATTTTTATTTCTCAAAATTCGTTGATCATTGCAAACATACACTGTGCTCTATGCAACAAGCAAATGAAATAAAGATGGTACTGTGAACTGTCATTTGAATATATACATGTTTACATGCACAGATGTTGCAGGCAATTCTCAGTAGGTAGTCTGAATGCTGCTGCACCACTGCAGCACCTCTGTCAGTGAAACAAATCTATTTCTTTCTGCACTCTATATCCATTCATAACACGCAGGTCAAACAAAAGAGCAAATGTTGTCTTGCTTAAATTACTCACAAGAGGTTGCCATCATTTGGCCCTCTGAGAAGGCTTGCATTGGGCCCCTTCGGACAAATTCGATTAGAAGGTTGTGTCATCTGATCTTCATGGGTGCTAGTACCTTTCGAGAACCTGTGCGAATTCCAGAGAAAGTAATTATGATTATTAGTAGTTTTACCAAACCACAACCATTTTTACATAGTAGCAATCAGTTTATACAAGACACTTTTATAATGGGCTTCTACAAGAGAGCTACTAAAATGAGCTCCCTCTAAGTCTGGGAATGCACATTAGGTACATTGTACTTAGACGAGTTCAAGTAATTGATAGGTCCTCCAGGTTTTCCAAAGACATTCATTTAGCACATAATTTGCTACATGTTGCACAAGAGAGAACTGTTCAGAACGTTTGCAGTTTATAATATAAATGTCACCTCTTGATTCAATTTTCATCTAGCTCTGGGCAAAAGTAAGTTCCCCACAGCACTCAGGAGGTGTGACACATTTAACTGGTAGCGAGCAGCTTGCTGTGCTGCTTCTGCAAGTAGCACACATGACATAGCACACACGGCCTTCCAACATTATTTTGATGCCTCACTGCATACTCCACAGCCTTTGAATTAAATCTAGCCATATAACTGAAATTATGGCCCACTGCCCATATAAAAACACAGGACAGGCAGAAAAGCAAGCACTAAATAATGCTGTTATAGATTGGTCACCTTCGAATTAGAAAGAGCGATCATGTAAACCCCACTTTTTGAGAAATTCAGTCATGTTAAGCCATCTTCAGCTGATCATTATTATATTTCACTTTATCTGCATGCTCAGCTTTGATAGACAAGTAAGATAGTATGGTGCATCATGATAAAAAACAGGCACTGATTTATGGTGCAAATGCTCTCTCCAATGGTCATAACCCACAGTGGCACACTTTATAAGGCAAAATTGTTTCTTAATTTGGCCTGATAATCCCAAGCAACCACCCTTGGAGATTTCACGTGACTTTACTAAATGTGTAGAAGTAGATGTCCAAGCGCATTCCAGACCCTGCGTTAAGATAATGAGCTTGACCCAGAACCAGAAACACTACTGACTGTATGGTAGTCAATGTGTTTGGTGCCACATCAAGCGAAATTTTATAAAAGTGATATGGCTTTCTTGACAACAGCAGCTCTTCAGTGAAATGGCTGACAATGACCACCATGACAAGTCAAAGAGTACAGTAGAAACTTGCTGATGCATTCCTGTTTCTCATGTTTTCTTGGCTTTTATGTTCTGAAATCTTAGTCCCACTTACTGTAAAAAAACGCAATATAGGTCTGCCAGAATATATGTCACCCTTCCCCCCCCCCCCCCCCCTAACTTTAATTATCCGAAAAAAAAATTTAAAAATCGCAAAGTATCACGGCACACCCTTACCTTGATAAATACATGACGTAGCCAGCTGCACTGTGGTGACGTTAATTTTTATTTCAATACCAATCTTACATAGTTAAACGCCAGAAAGCCACAAAGTGCTGTCACTCAGACTCGTCCGACCTTGAGTCCGACCTTAAGTCCGACGACGTCTGTTTCTCACTAGTTACGCCCCAGAGTGCATCGTCCTACATTCCATCCAGCGCGTTGCTGATGCAGCATTTGTGGAACGACTTGCGCACCATTTCTCCCAGGAAAAATTTCCAAGCTGACAACACCCTGCTACAAACGGTCACGAGTCGTGGACGTCGTGGGCAGCTAGTGGGGGTCTTGGGATTGTCGCCCAGCATCCACTCATTGTGGAGCTCCCGCATGTGATATTTGAAGGGTTGATTAAGCACTATGTCCAGTGGCTGGAGGATTGATGTTAGTCTTCCAGGAATCATGACAAGGTCCGTCTTGCCATCGGACAGACCTCCCTTTACATCGGCCGCAAGGTGGCCTCAAAATGATTCGAGCACCAACATGCTCGGGCGTTGAAAAAGCGCACCGGGTCGTCAACTCTACATGAGTTGGATACACTCAAGCATGAGCGACTCATTCATGAACCCTTTTTCATTAATTCTCACGATAACATCACGGAGAAAGTCTTTCTTGGTAGCCCTTTTTTCTTGAAAATGATATAAGGGGACAGCTACTTTCCATCGGCTGTGCATGCGAGCATGACTGTAAAACGCGAATGCTCGTTGCCTGTTATCAAGAGCTTCGCTTGCTTGGATTCTTCAGTTGTCACAGCCCAGTTCAAAGGCATATTGAACTAGATCGAAGTTTCGTCAGAGTTGCCCGTGTGTCGACATGGGCAATGCTGACGACAAAGCTGTCGACAAAGCCTGACGACGAAGAGCTGATACTCAACCAGCTTGTTACCGAAATCTTCGGGCAGTTTTTGGCACACAGAAGTACGCCGCCTTAGTGCAAAGCCCTTCCGCTTAATAAATTGGCACACCCATGATGGCGAACCCTTGAATTGCGCCCTTGTAATACCGAAGTAGCGTGCTATAGCCTTTTCTCGATAGCTTTCACACAGATGCACTCCGGTGTCACAAGTAGTGACCTTGCAAGCAGCTCCTGGACGAATTCAGCTAGTAACGTTTCCCGTTCGGGGTGCACTGCAGTCCGTCCACGAAACGAAGTTTTTGTTTGGTTGCTGCAGGATGTGATGCACTGCTTGTGGCTCCTCCAGTATCGGATGCTTTTCTCCGATACACTAGATTTCTGTTGTACTGCGAGGTTGCCGTGCGCTTTGGCATACTCGATAACTTTTTTTTCTTAAAGCTTATCGTAAATTGACATAGAATACCACTCATTTCTGAAGAAAATAGAAAAAAAAGCAGACTGACAAAGGTAACCAAAGCGAAATGGTATTGCTAGTATGCTGTAGGCCTTGCCCACGACCTACAGTGAGTCGCGCCCTTCTATAGAGTTTCTTAAAATTAACTAAAGGGGACTGTGGCGCTTCGATCGTTCAGTGACCATGGCGATTATGGGTATGACATGGGTTTGCCTAGTCTTTATGCTTGTGGGTGGCAAATCGCACTTGTGGCTTTGTTTATTGCTGTGTGCTGGTTTTGTTTCAAATTAAAGAACAAACCGTTTTGAACTTTGTGAGCCGATTCGAAATGGTGGTCCTAAAAGGTGAAGGTGGTGAAGCGTAACTGCCGAACATTTGCAGATTGTTGTTTCGTGACAAAGCAGCTTCAAGCCACACGAAGCCAGAAGGAATGTAAAGTACGAAGACTAGGCAAATCCATATAATACGTATAATTCCCATGCTCCCTGGAGCGCTATGCGTTGCAGCTCCCATGGACACTAGTGCCAGAGTTCCCTCTAGTGTATATTTAGAAAACTTTATGGCCTTGCCTAGCCTTGCCCAATGACGCCGCTGCTGATGCTCACGATGGCAATAGAGGCTTTTGACTTCAGCTGCCCATTGTTGTGAGACTTCCACATTATTTCTACCAGTGGCCGGCATCTAAGACGAAGATTGACTTTTCATTGCATTTAAAAAAAAAAAAGAATTCAACCTATATTCTGGATTTTACGGTAGTTTTCACAGGGCCATGCGTATCAGTTTCCCCTTTCTTATGTTTCGCTTCCTGGTTGGTGCACTAAAAACACTGTGATTGTGTTGACTGCTACCTGTTTCTCCTGCAAGAGGTTACAGAACTGAAGTGGCTGACTGGGCTACAGTCGATTCTCATTAATTCGAGCATGCCTTATTCGAACTTCCGGTTAATTCGAACTTTCACTGAGGTCCCGTCAAAGCTATGTGTATTCCAAAGGGTGAAAACACCCTTAATTTAAACACGCAAGCACTTGCGACGGTTAAATCGAACATACCGCGCTACGAAAATGCTCTCAGCACCACGCCCAACCCCACGGCGGCACCTCCGGCACACCTGAATGCTGGGCACGAAAGAAAATAACGGGAAAGAAAAGGCTGCCGTGGAATATTTGCTCTCTCTCAAATGCCGATCTGCGACGAGCCTGTGCCACGCTTCCCCATTTCCCGTCTCTGCCATGTAGACCCTCCTCCTTTCAACGGCGCGTGTAAAAAGAGGAAAAAAAAAAGCTGCTGTGGAGTGTTGGTTCTCTCTCAAATGCCGATCTGCTTCTTTCCGCGTAAAGACGCTCCTCCTTTCTCGTCCCGTGCTGGCCACAGAACTGGCCACGGCCCACGCTGCGGCTGCGGCGCAGAAGGTAGTAGCGGAGACGTAGTCATTGTTGTCATCGTCCTTAGAGAGTGTGGGCGCTGGAAATTGCCGCGCGCAACTTCCCTTGCCAGGAGAATGCTGAAGCCAAAGTAGAAATGCTTTGCAAGCTGCGCGCAAAATTCATTGACTTGCTGCAAGGCAAACGTGTGCAGACACGCATCACCGATTACTTCAATTAATGACGAATGTCCTGTGATTTGTGAATAAACGCGTCTTCTGAAACTTCCCCCTGTGTGTTAGCTGAATGCACAAGCGCCACTGCATGGTGAGGTCTTCGTTCATTTAGCTTTCATGAATTCAAACTTATTTTAATTTGAACTAACTTTTGGGCCCGTTCGAGTTTCAATTATTGAGATTAGTTCACTTGGAGTAACTATTCATACAGCCAATGGGCTGAGTGAAGAATTACTGGTTACAGAACCTTCTGCATGGCACTATGTTTACGAGAAACAGCAAAAGTGTCAGTCATGCCTTGCCAGCATTTTGCCAGGGGGCTAAATGCCACCTGAGAACCTACATGCACATGTCTGTAGGCTTTCTAAATGGAGCAGAAGCTCGAGCACCATGTGCCCTTCCCTTTTGTCGTGTACATACTTTTTTCCTGGCATATAATATAACCAACTAACAAAATGGTCGTTACAGTGTGCACCATGTCACACATAGTTTTTTTTTTTCCTACAGGAACATGTGCTTAAATTTCTTTGTGTAAAAATAGTGTTATCGAACTATATGGTTTGAGGGATCATGCTTTCCTTTTTCGTGCACCCCGAAGAAATGTCACAAATGTAGAAGAGTGGAGGAGGTTTCGTGGTAGAATAGAGAGTGGGAAAAAAAGCTGTGCTTTAAAACAAGGGGGCTAACGTATGTTTCGCTGGTTCATTTGCCTTTAGCAGTGCAACTGTCTGAGGTTTATTATGTTAATTCAATGTCATGCTGGCATCATGGCAGAAAACATTAATATTTTCTCCCCAGAGAGATAGCTTTCGATGCTTATGCTATCATCATAAGTCAAAGCAAAAGTTTAGAAACTACACCATGGCCATTTGTTTGCAGAACTGTGCAGAAGCAAAGTTGAGGATTCATTTAACACAAAAAGGGAAGAAATGGTAAGTTTTTAGATCAGTGTTAGGGGTGCAGCATTTATTTGCAAGTGCATGCAATGTGCAAGACAAGAGTCATCCGGAAAATAAAGACTGGTCTATTCAGTCGCACAAAAAAAAAATGTTTGTTGGAAGAAACAATTCTGATTGATTGATTGATATATGGAGCTTAACATCCCAAAACCAGCATATGATTATGAGAGACACCGTAGTGAAGGGCTCTAAAAATTTCGACCACTTGGGCTTCTTTAACGTGCACCCAAATCTGAGCACACAGGCCTCCAGCATATTTGCCTCCATTAAAAATGCAGCCGCTGCAGTCGGAATTCGATCCCGAGACCTGCGGGTCAGCAGCTGAGTACCTTAGCCACGAGACCACCACGGCAGGGCGAAAAAACAATTCTGTTACATACATGAACTTTCCTTCACTCCTTTAGTCTACATAATCACCTGCTGCATTTAAACATTTGTCGTATCCCGTGAGGAGCTTCAGAATTCTTATGTTACACTCTTCTGCCACCAGTTTAATATGTTGGCTGAACACTGCATTCTTGAAACCTTCATAGCTTCCAAAATGTTTACAGCCCAAAAACTTTTTCAGCTCGAGGAAGATGTGAAAATTACTAGGAGCAAGGTGCAGACTACAGGGTATGAGATAAAAAATATCCTACTCAAACTGATCCCACAATTCTTCAGTTGCAGCAACAGTGTGAGGCTAGGCATTGTCATGAAACAATTCCCCGGAAAGTATTTCTCATCTACTGTATTGAATGGCTCACTGTAGTTTTCAGTCTTGCAAGAATAATTTGAATTGATTAAAGTGCCTTTTGGCATTCACACCTTTACGATCACAAAATATGGTTGCCATGACCTTACACAGCCTTTTTTTGTTGTTTTACCCTCGCACCTTACAAAAGCATGCTCATGAAAATGTTTAGGTGACACAAACTTCTAGTAATACTATAAGAATATAAGAAAAAACTCACTTGAACAACTTTCGAAGAAACTTGGGCCTAAATGCACGTTCAGTAATAGATTTAGGAGGTGGGGAGGTAGCCTTGTCACTGCAATAAAATTGCAAAATAAAGACACAGAACCTTTAAAATTCATTTATATAATCTCTCAGACAACTGGCAAATAGGTCAACATGTGCCAATGAACAGTCCTTCAAGCAGAATAAGGAAGGTTGTTTATGGGCATTGAGAATCACTGTTTCATAAGGCAACGAATTCTTGGACTAAGATATAAGTAGATAAATGCAAATGCCAAGAGCCTTGATATTTAAAAAAAAAGGTGTCCTGCTGCTTTATATCACAACCCGGGTTCACCCTAAAGTGGGCAGAAGTGAAAATGCCACCCACAATGCTGCTTCACCACTCCACTTCACCACTCCACTTCACCAACCCCTCCGGCTCACTACCTACCACTTTCGATAGATGATCAGCCACCACTCCGATTGACCCCTTTCAAATGTGTGCCTGAGGAACCAATAAACAGCAACGGATTCAACACGAACGCGTCGTGCCTTCCACCACCCGGTTACATAAAATGCAGTTTGGACTTGTGGCTTTAAAGATCTGAAACGCGGGTGCCCTTGCTTCAATTTTTTATGTGCATCATAGATGCCAAAAATGTGCAACTGAAAATGAAATGTGGATAGGAGTCGAAAACAGGAAGCTTGAAAAATGAATATTTTTAAATGTAATATCCAGCTTCCAAGCCGGCTCTCAAAATTTTCCCCCCAAGACATTTCTGGTGAGAACCCTGGTCACAGCCAATGAAAGGCTTAAATGTAGTTTGAAAAGATCCAGAGCAGGTATGTATCTCACAAAGTACAACAGTAAATTTATGCACCAGATGATATTACGCTCTTAGAGACGCACAATCATGCTTAATAAAAATCGTACTGAGCTTACCACCTACTGAGCTAGACAACTCTAACTGAACCTCACTTGAGCAGAAATTTTGAGTACATAATAACAATAATTAAAAACTGTGCCAACTCGGGGAGCATTGCCTTTTCCCATTAAAGGGTGTTACTGTTTGGTGATATGTTTATCATAAATACAGTAATCGGTAAGCAAAAAAGAGCATCAAATCTGGCAAAATCGAATTTCAGAGACGCAAGTCATTCAGGCATTGCAATGCCTTTTGCAGGAGTGTTCCTTTCAAGAACCTTGCTTCTATACAATAAGGGAAAGTTGAGCTCACTGGTATGAATTCACGAAAGAAAGAGTCATGCGAACAGAGACAAAAGAGCAGAGAACCAGGGAATAAAAATGCCTTATTTTGATCAACATAGACGAAGTGAGGTATGTCGTGACATCACAAGAAATATAACAATGTTTCAATCATTGAACATGTATTGTTTAGTGCTTAACTATTCTTTTTTGAGATTCTGGGTTATAAGTTTTCTCACAAAGTTGGTTCACATTTAGGCATCTTCTGCCTAAATTCGATATGTGATTTGTGTTTTTTAATATAAAGCAGACTTTCAGTAAATGAAAATCTGTTAAATGGAACTGCTGCTTCGATGGAACAACTGTCTTTGATCTGATTGGTTTAGTATTTGGATTCTGCACCTTTGTTCACCTCTCAGTAAATGGAGCACCGGTTAAATGAAACACATTTTTCTGGTCCTTTTACGTTTTGCTTAATGGGAGTCTGCTGCATATAATTAGCTTTGTATTTTGCCTCAGTTATTTATACAGTTGAACGTTTTTATAAAAGGCATGCTCCGGGCAGCAATTTTCGTCTTTTATGCGAGATGTCTTTTATAAGCAGGGTACCATGTGTGCATTTTCCTATCAACCTGTATTTTACTTTAGGCACACTGGTGTCTCTTATACCCATTTGTCTCTTACATCAGGGTCTCTTATAAAGGTATTCGACTGTACCATGACTGATGAGTTATCTTTTTGCCATTTCCTTGAATCATAAATAAGCACATAAACTAAGTTGCACCTGCTGCGACTGCCAACCTGAGAAAGCACATTAATTATAGTCAGGCCAATACTTTTAAATATATAATGCAATATTAACATTTCACTCAAAATATATGGCACGTCAAGCCACAAGGTGACTGAGCCCTAGGAGAAAGCCAGCCTATTCAGCTTTTAAGAGACAATACAGACACCAAGAGAAGAGTACTACAAATTTCTAATCGAGTGATACAATACACAGCTAAAAAGTAAAAGGCTTCCCAAATGCTGTTCTAAAATTGTGGATGTTTGTGCTCATACTGCACTAGTGATGCCGGCTCATTGCTTGGCGCCTTTCAGTGTAATGAAAGAAATAAGAATTACTTAACATATTCTCTATATAATCTTCACTCTAATTCCTTTAAGTTAATTATTATATGTATGGTAAACTAAGATTAATAATAAGATTAATAACATGGAAACTGTTCTGGCATAAAATCATGACTTCCAACATCATTCCACAGATTAAAAGAAAAAAATTCTGAAATTACCTGACAGTTATAAGTTGGGTTTCTTCTTTAGAGGACCCTTCTGAAATATAAAGCAGAGTTTAATGAGTACTTTTGACTTTTACACAGCAGCATCTCAACAGCAGCTCTGCATATGGGAAAACTTGGCAACACAAAGTCAAAGTCAACGTTACCTAATCTTTCCTCTATGCCAAAAATGGCACAAGTGAAACATAAATTTAAAGTTCACCTGTGGTAACAGCAGAAAAAGGTTTACGATGAATAAAGGTATAGGCCTTAGCACAACGGTAACTAGACAAACTGGGCAAATATACACAGAGAGCTGTGCACATAATGCCATGCTGTTTCATTTCTTTTTCAATGCTAGAAAATGTCAACATGTCACTAGTAAATATAGCTGGAACAAACAAAATGCATAAGAATGAGCTATATCATTTATTATGGATTAACACACTGTTTTCGGCACTTTTCGAAAGAACATGCAAAAGGAAAAAAAAAGTGAGAAACAAAGCACAAAGGAGCACTGACTTCCAAGAGGAATTCTCGTTTATTTCACTGTGTTTACGCTGTAGCGTCTCATGAAATTTCATAATTAACCATTACAATGTTCATTTTTTTAGTGACAGAAAAGCAAAATAATCAAGAAGTGCACTTATCTACATGTACTGTAAAGTGCCAAGGTTCATAATTACAGCCTTTCTACCATGTACTATCACGTTAGAAAGCAATGTGAACAATGCAAAGCATGACTTTTAGCCTAGTTGAACTTCAACATGCCTTGACTGTCGCTAGGCGAATCTGGGCTTTCAGCTAGCATCACCATAGCGCTAGAATGTTGTTATGGCTGGTGCTAATGCACCCCATGTTCTTAAAATCTGACAGTCATGCCTGGCACCCTGAAAGTTAAGAAAAAAGCTAAGGACAAGTTATTGCACAATGAAATAAAAATGGTAGGTACATAATTAAAGATCGGAAGACAGAAAAATGGGTCAGGGAACTAGTTGGCATAAACTCGACTGGCCGCCTAATGCGTAAGATGCAGTGGCACAACCAGTTCGAGTAGTTCCACCCGAGCCCCTTCAAATTTTTACATTTTATATGTGTATACAAACACACCCATAAACATGCACAAGAGGGGAGGGGGGTGCATTCTTGCAAACATTTCTCGCTGCGTCCCCAGTAGGACAGACAACCTGTGGTTGGTGAAAGCAATGAAATGATCAAGTGAAGGGAATGCAGCTGAGGATGACAGTGAGTCACATGGAGTGATAAAATCAACAAACTCGAAGGAATAAAATCACATCAGGTACAACAGGATGAATTTTACATCATTCAAGGTGCCCTTCATCCTGTAGTGGACATAAAGTAAGCTTATAAACTGGCAAACTGCCAGCTTTGCATCGTCCAGTCTCTAGCTTTAATACAACTCTTGCTTGCAAATGAGTTCTGCAAATGAATATTTTGCTTTTACTCTTCTTTAACTCTTCCTTGTGACCATAATTGTCCTAGACAGCTAGTTGAACAACTAGCAGGAGCCAGCAGGTCAACTAACAATTCCATTTACAGCGATTAGGTCCAGATTTAATGACACCCCTCCCCCTTTTTTTATATGCATTTCTATCTGTGCCCATGTGATGTGCTTAGTGTACTACAAGGACAGTGACTAAACCTGCAAACAGGCACTGCAAAACTGGTGGTTGCATGCGAGTAAGGACATTGCATCATCATCATCATCATCGCCATCGTCATCATCACCATCCTGACTACGTCTACTGCAGGGCAAAGGCCTCTCCCATGTTCCGCCAGTCAACTCGGTCCTGTGCTTGCTTGTGCCAATTTATACCCGCAAACCACTTAATAATCTGATCTGCCAACCTAACCTTCTGTCTCCCCCTAACCCGCTTGCCTTCTCTAGGAATCCAGTTAGTTACCCTCAATGACCAGACGTTATCCTGTCTATGTGCTACATGCCCGGCCCAAGTCCATTTCCTCTTCTTGATTTCAACTACGATATCCTTAATCCCGGTTTGTTCCTTAATCCACTCTGCTCTCTTCTTATCTCTTAAGGTTACACCTACCATTTTCCTTTCCATTGCTCCCTGCGTCGTCCTCAAGTTAAGCTGAACCCTCTTCGTAAGTCTCCAGGTTTCTGCTCCGTAGCTAAGTACCGGCAAGATGCAGCTGTTATATACCTTCCTCTTGAGGAATAGTGGCAATCTACCTGTCATGATTTGAGAGTGCTTGCCAAATGTGCTCCACCCCGTTCTTATTCTAGTTACTTCAATCTCGTGGTTCGGCTGCGCGGTTATTACCTGCCCTAAGTAGACATAGTCTTTTACAACTTGAAGTGCACTACGTATTACCTATCTCGAAGCGCTGCTCTCTTCCGAGGTTGTTGTACATTACTTTAGTTCTCTGCAGATTAATTTTAAGACCCACCTTTCTGCTCTCCTTGTCTAACTCCGTAATCATGAGTTGCAATTCATCCCCTGAGTTACTCAGCAATGCAATGTCATTGACGAAGCACAGGTTACTAAGGTACTTTCTATTAACTCTAATGCCTAACTCTTCCCATTCTAGGCCTCTGAAAACCTCCTGTAAGCATGCGGTATATAGCATTGGGGAGATTGTATCCTCCTGCCTTACACCCTTCTTGATTGGTATTCTGTTGCTTTCTTTATGAAGCACTATGATAGCAGTTGATCCCCTGTACATTTCTTTCAGGATGTTTACATACGCTTCGTCGACGCCCTGATTCCGCAGTGTCTGCATGACTGCTTATATTTCTACTGAATCGAACGCCTTCTTGTAATCTATGAAGGCTATGTATAGTGGATAGCTATATTCTGAGCAGTTCTCTATTACCTGATTGATAGTATGAATGTGGTCGATTGTTGAGTAGCCTGTTTGAAATCCTGCTTGTTCTTTTGGTTGGTTGAATTCTAATGTTTTCTTAATTCTGTTAGCAATTACCTTTATAAATAGCTTGTATACTACGGAGAGCAAGCTGATCCCGGAGAGCAAGCTGATCGGCCTGTAATTCTTCAAGTCCTTGTTATCTCCTTTCTTATGTATTAGGATGATGTTAGCATTCTTCCAAGATTCTGGTACACTCCCCGTCAGGAGACACCTCGTAAACAGGGTCGCTAGTTTTTCTAACACAATCTGTCCTCCATCTTTCAGCAGAACTGATGTTACCTGATCCTCACCAGCAGCTTTGCCTCTTTGCATACTCTCCAAGGCTTTTCTGACTTCTTCTATCATTACTGGTGGGGTGTTATCTGGGTTACTGCTAGTTATTATATTAAGGTCGTGGTTGTGCTAGCTACTGTACAGATCTCTGTAGAACTCCTCCACTACTTTTACTATCCCATCCATATTGATAGTTACTTTGCCTTCCTTATCCCTCAGTGCATACATTTGGTTTTTGCCCATCCCAAGTTTTCTCTTCACTGCTTTGATGCTTCCTCCGTTCTTCAGAGCGTGTCCAATTCTCTCCATGTTATACCTTCTTACATCGGATACCTTACGCTGATTAATCAACTTCGAAAGCTCCACCAACTCTTTTTTGTCTGTTGTACTTGAGGTTTTCATGCTTTGACGCTTGTTAATGAGATTCTTTGTTTTCTGGGACAGCTTGCCAGTGTCCTGTCTAACTACAGTATCTCCAACTTCCACTGCACACTCCATAATGATACTCGTCAGATTATCATGCATTGCATCAACGCTAAGGCTGTTTTCCTCGTTAAGAGACAAGTACCTGTTCTGAAGCGAGACTCTGAATTCCTGTACTTTCCCTCTCAGTGCTAGCTCATTGATTGGCTTGTTGCGTATCAGTTTCTGTCGTTCCTTCTTCAAGTCTAGGCGAATTCGGGACCATACCATTCTATGGTCACTGCATCGTACCTTGCCAAGCACTTCCACATCCTGCAAGATGCCTGGGTGTGCACTCAGTATAAAGTCTATTTCGGTTTTATTTTCGCCATTGGGGCTTCTCTATGTCCACTTACGGTTCCCTCACTTTCGGTAGAAGGTACAGTCGAGCCCACATATAACGACCCCACTTGATTGATATGTGGGGTTTAACGTCCCAAAACCACTATATGATTATGAGAGACGCCGTAGTGGAGGGCTCCGGAAATTTAGACCACCTGGGGTTCTTTAACGTGCACCCAAATCTATAACGACCCCACTTGAAATGAACTTTCGCTTAAAACGAACAATATCCGCGTGACCATGAAAATATACATTGGTTCAATGACACAAAATCGCACTTACAACGAATGTCTCCGAGCGCCGCTGATCGGTTACAGCGAACGGAGTTGGCGGTCTGCCAACTTCCCCAAAAACCAATTTTGACCACCAATCAGGCATCAGCGATGTGCCCATACATTCTCACTGTTTTCAAAGTAAACATTTGACAGAAGTCTGTTTGGTTGGGTATGAAACTGGGAAACGATTTGATTGATATGTGGAGTTTAACGTCCCAAAACCACCATATGATTATGAGAGAAGCCGTAGTGGAGGGCTCCGGAAATTTGGACCACCTGGGGTTCTTTAACGTGCACCCAAATATGAGCACACGGGCCTACAACATTTCCGCCTCCATTGGAAATGCAGCCGCTGCAGCCAGAATTCGAAACCGCGACCTGCGTGTCATAAGCTGAGTACCTTAGCCACTAGACCACTGCGGCGGGGCAACGGGAGATGATTTAGACTCTAACCAAAAGTTTTGAAGAAACCCGATGTTTCGGAACCGACTTGGTTCCTTCCTCAGGGGTGACTGCGGAGGCTACGTAGCAGCGTAGTCTTCAAAGCACTCATATGGGGTGGCTAAGTGGCTAATGACCCCCCCCCCCCCCCCCGCTCTCTCTCTCGTTTTGCCGTGGAGCGCAGTCCGTGTGAATACACTGGGGGAAAGGTTCCGAGAGAGCGGTTGATATTATGGGCTGTCCTCTGTATGTGGTGCCACGACTCGAGTAACAACCTTCTCCTTCAGTTCGGCTCGCTTTCAAGGATGGCCGTCGCTTCGTAATTTATTTTGTGATCCAACGTCTTGGCATGTTCGGCGACTGCGCTGCGCTCTTTGTAGAACTTCCGCACATCATTGGCGTGTTGCTTCAGTCGTTCCGGTAAGTTTTTCGTCTCGCCGATATACGACGAGGGGCACTCGGCACACGGAATTTTGTAAACGACACCGGGGCTCTTGTCCATTGTTGGCCGGTCTTTCGGGCGGGGGAGGAGGCGGCCCAGCGTACACGAAGGCATGTGCACGATGCGAACCCCTTCCTTCCTGAAGATCCGCGCCAACATCTCGCTGGTTCCCTGAATGTAGGTAACCAGTACGCATTTCGGGGGGCTGCCAAATGAGGTTTCTTGGTGTTTTCGTAACCTCTGCGGCTCTTCGCGGGGGGTGGCGGCTCGAATAAAGTTTTCTGGGTATCCGTTTTTTCTGAGGTCAGCAATTACGCGGGCCTCCTCTTTCTTTCGCTCGTTGTCATTAGAGCATAAGTTCCCAGCTCTCTCGAGTAGCGTGGTCACAACCGAGGCCTTGTGGCAGGTGGGGTGGGAAGAATCGAACTGAAGGTAGCGGCCGGTGTGCGTTGGCTTTCCATGAACGGAGAGCTCCAGGCCATCTCATTGTTAAACGCCGACCCTGCCTCCGCGACCCTCTAGTAGCCGCTCTCCCCAACCCATGGAGGAAGAAAATCTGTTTCCTTCCTCCATGCCCCGACTGCTTTTTGTTACCCACCCTTCCATCCTTTGTCCCCCCCGCTACTCTGAGCACCCCGGATCACCAGACGAGGTCCGTGTTTACACACTGCCACCAATCTTTCAAAGACCGGTCGGCCACCTACCCTGTTTTTGATCCCTGGTACTGTCGTTGGTGTTGCCGGCCTGGAGTGACCATTTGCCAACATTGTTAGCCAGCGACTGTATCTGATAGTCTGCGCCTAGTGCACGCACGTATGCTACCCCACCAACTCTGATGATTTGCGATTCGTTTCGTGTTTAGGACTTGTTCTCGTTCACTTCGCACTCAACTTGGCATGCCTCCCGCGCGCGTGCGGAAGCGCGAAAACGGCTGTTAATTTGCGTGGAACAAATCGAGAAATATCGAAGTTCGTGAGGCCATGCGAAGCTGCCGGCGCAACAAAACGATTTTACGACCACTGCTGCCGATTCTTCGAACACGGCTGCGCACACCGATCTAGGAGGCCATACACTGACTTCTGCGTGCGCAGGCACTCTTTCCAAGTTTTTCTACGTGCGAGTTTCGCGGACCTTTCAAGGAAGCTACCCAACCTGCCTCCTTCCCGTGTGTTTTGGTTTTCTAAGTCGCCCTACCACCGCATCCTCCCATCTCCTTATCGCAAGTTCTTGCTCTTCTCTCACAAGTATGCTCTCCTCTCTTGATCACAACCCCTTCGCCCGTTTCCACCGCTCCGCGACGCCCACCACGCTTGCTCGAATTAGTTTCGTTTTCTGACTGAAAACGGGCCCAAAGCTGTTCCACACGTTCTGGAGTGTGTGTCGCGTGTGCGCGTCTTGCTCACTCTTGGTGTGCGTGTGTGGTCATAATGGCCGACGGGAGGACTAGCATGCTTTTTCCTGAGCCTCAACAAAACGTCAAAAGTGTGACCGTGTGGCTTGAGCGTAATTCCTGCGTTAGGTGCCGCGTTGCGGAGCGCTTGCTCATAGCTGTTGACCACCTAGCAGCCAACTTGCCGCTTCGGGCATTCCGGTATTCAGCTGTGCACATGGTGAATATTTCGTGGGCGGTGGTGACGGCAACATGCGCGCGAAACTGTTTTCGCGAGGCCGACTTCGTCGACGTCGGGCCTGATGCCGAGTCTGAATCTTCCAAACTGCGGCGGTGATTTGTGGCAGCGCGTCGACTCCGACCTGGGAGAGGGGGTTGGACATTTGTTGCGATGGTTTCATTACGGCAGATGATGATGCCGACACTGCGGAACCGTGCACGGATTAGGGCATTGTGAATGAAATACATGGCGAGAGCGATTTGGAGGAATCAGATAGTGAGAACGATGAAACTTTGGAGCCAGTGCCTCATGCTGCCTATGCCACGGGCCTCGAAGAATGAGCACCCTGCCGTTTTATATGAACTCGAGACCGCCCTTATCGCTTCTGCTCTTCAAAACACGTGCGTCATAAACTTTTTGGGGCTAAAAAAGTTTGTGTTTTCACTTGCAACTTATTTTAAAAGCTGTGTTTCATTTACTACGAACTTCGGGATACAGCGAACGGATGCCGCGTCACGCTTAGGGTCGTTATAAGCGGGCTCGACTGTATTTAAAATCTGCAAATTATTGCGTTCTGCGAATTCTACTAGTAGCTCCCCTCTGGCATTTCTAGCGCCGATGCCATAATCTTCTACTGCCTGGTATCGAGCCTGCTTGTTCCCTACTTTTGCATTGAGGTCTCCAATCAGTATAGTATACTGTGTTTTTACCTTACTCATAGCTGATTCCACGTCTTCATAGAAGCTTTCAACAGACGCGTCACCATGGCTGGACGTAGGCGCATAAACGTGTACTACCTTCATTTTGTATCTCTAATTGAGTTTAATTACGATAGCTACCACCCTTTCATTAATACTACAGTATTCCTCTATGTTGCCTGCTATGTTTCTGTGGATAAGAAACCCCACTCCCAGTTCTCTTCTGTCAGCCAAGCCCCAATAGCAAAGGATGTGCCCATTCTGTAGCACTGTATAGGCCTCATCTGTCCTAACCTCGCTGAGCTCTACTATATCCTATTTAACACCCTCTAGCTCCTCAAATAGTACAACAGCTAGACTTGGCTCACTAGATAAGGCTCTAGTGTTAAACGTTGCCAAATTCAGGTTCCAATGGCGATCTGTCTGGATTCAGAGATTCTTAGCACCCTCTGCTGCGTTGCAGATCTGACCACTGCCATGGTCAGTTGCTTCGCAGCCGCTGGGGACTGAGGGCCGTGAGTTAATTGACGTATGCATGTGGGAGGTGGTGGCCAGATACTGCACCAGGGTGGCCAATCCTTCTTTGGTGAGGGAGTGCGTTACCGGCGGTGGTCACCAGTGAGGCCGCACCTCAGGCCTCTTAATGCAGTTCCATCTCCACGCGGACTTTTTTTTTAAAATCCAATTGAGAACTGCGAGGCACCAAGATTTGAACCACGGACCTCTTGCATGCGAGGCTGATGTTCTAACCACTACGCCATCGCTGCCGTTGCAGGACGAGGCAAATGCCCCTCCCCAAGTTCTAATGCAGAGAGGCAGCTCTAGGCTCCTCTAACATACAGGTCGAATCTACAAAGCCTAATGTACAAAATATTAGGCCTTCATCTCACAATAATAAAGTGTTCATGTGGGGAAAATGAGCATGGTCCCTGTTCCACTCTGTAGCCCCTGCATGCAAGGCAAACAGCACCACTATGTCAAGAGCTTTTGTATGATGTGTCAATCAGCTGACCCTTAGTGGACGGTGCAGATTTGGTGACAAGGGTCAAGCCATCAGTCTGGGCTGGGGAGGCATGGCGGCTTCGGGGCGGGACGGGGGGAGTGCTCTTGACCAACACTCCCGGCTGTATGCCCTCAGAACCAAGGAGTGGACGGCTGCACCAGAGCAGGAGAGATGCTTGTCATATGCACATATACTTGCAGCTATTGATTTAAGATTTCCTGTTCAGTCAAAAATAACAACGCTATAACATCTACACAAGAAGTAAAGGGGGTAAATTACAAACATTTATCATGAAAGATTCAGAAAACTCAAAACACTAACTTTGTCCATGACTAATGCATCACTATGAATGGCACTCAATATGAGCAAATGGACTCTCATCAGCTATTACATAATTTTAAATTGTTTATTTCTGCTATTCAGGCATGTAGGTGCAGCATGTTGCTATCAAACTAATATTTATAATTCTTTATTTTATATATTCAGCAGTGCTAGGGAAACAGATGCACCCTTTTAGGTGATCTCCATAAAAACAAGAGCCATAATCATGTAAAACAAGCACAAAACGTTACCGTATTTACTCGCATTATTCATGTACTTTTTTTTGGGGATTCTGGGGCTTTGAGAAGGGGTGCGCGAACTATGCAGGTATTTCACGAACACATAAGAAATAATGTGCAATAGTCGTAACGTGTCAAGTATACACCGTATAAACCAGGCTATAGGGCGAGTGGGAATATAGGTCGACCCCGCAAGCTCAGGTTACCGAAAAAGAAAAAAAAAAAAGAAAAACCGAAATTGCTGAACGACATTTATGTGCGAATTGGGCGCACTGCCCTCAATCGTCGAAGCTCCCCTCAACCACCATCGCAACTGTTCCTATTCGTCAGACGAAAGCACCATTGTCTTCTGAAGACGAGAGTTTGTCGCTGGCCGCCTCCCACAGTGCATTGTCTTCCATGCGAGTTGCTGATAGAACATCTCTCGAAAGCATTTTCCACCATGGAATCCGGCAAGGAACACGAGACGGAAAGCACCCAGTCACAAACAGTCACAAGTGGAGGCCTCTGTAGGCGGCCCATCGGTGTCTTTGGGTTGTCGCCGCCACTTTTGGTACTCCAGCCGCGCTCGGTCCTTGAACGGCTTGTTTAGCACAACGTCAATCGGTTGGAGGGTGGACGTCATACCACCTGGTATCACGGCGAGGTCCGTTTTTCCATCCTCCACTTCGCGCTTCACAGCGTCGGTTAAGTGACCACAAAACGCATCTAACACCAGCATGCTGCAAAGACGCAGCAGTACACCTGGTTGACGGTCCCAGACTACTCGTATCTATTCGATCATCATGGCCTCGTCTATATATCCCTTTTGGTTGACGCGAACGACAACACCGGATGGGAACACTTCCTTCGGCATTGTCTTACGTTTTAAAATGATGAAGGGCGGAAGCTTTCTACCATCTGCCATGCATGCCAGCATGATGGTGTAGAGCGAGTGCTCGTTGCCAGTGGACAACAGCTTCATATCCTTGGCACTGCATGATCATGGTCGATGAAGGCATGTGAAACCACATGGGGTCTCATCGGCATTGTCAATCTGCCCCATCATGTAGTTGTTCTGCTCCCGAAGCCGGTTCACGAAACCCTGAAAACTTATAAGCTTGTCATCAAACTCGTCTGGAAACTTCTGACAGATGAATGTGCGCCACCGGAAAAAAAATCCTTTGCGTCTCATGAATCGACGCACCCAAGAGTTTAGTGCACAAAACTCTTCTCTCGTGAGCCCAGCTTCTCGAGCGAATTCCACAGCTTTCTTGCGAATGATATTCACGGTCACTGGCAGCGAGCACGCATGAACTTTTCACACAAAGTTTCCTAGCGTATCCTCCAGCTGCGAATGAACCGCACTTCGCCCACGAAATGACATTTTCCGACGATTGCACGTCTGCAGCTTCCCTTTCTGCACCCTCCAATAGTGCACGCTTTTTTCTGGTACACCAAAGCGACGCTGAGGAGCCATATTCCCATTTGCTTCTGCGAACTCAACAACCTTTAGCTTAAACGGAGCTGAGTACTGCCTTCTCGTACCGCTACTCATATTCAGTGAACGAAAAAAAGACCACTAAAAATGAAACACAATGTCAAGTGGAGCGAGAATTCAGAACAGATCGGAGGCAAATCACGAACACAAAAAAACAAACAAGAGAGAAAAAAACAACAACTTGCTATTGGATTTGAATGCGAATATGGCCGTGTCCAGCTTCTCATGCACATGCAAGCCCCATGTTGCCAGACAGCGGTGCACTGTTGGCTAGACACTGCTATTTAAGACGAGGGGCGACTTTAGCTTGTTGTTTTATTGAAAATATCTCGGCCTATATTCCTGTTTATATGGTACTTTACAGAAGATAAAGTAAATTGGAGCACAAACCACGTGTACATGTTTATTTAACAGAATTAGCACATACCTTAACCAGTCAGAACCAGTCACACACGGTACGTCTAGTTGAAATTGCTGATCCAGAGATCCAACTGATCAAGAATCATCATTGGGGCCACTGCCACCACCACCCCCAAAGCGCACCGCCCTCGGTTCTGTTTAGCGCGTTTCAATGCGCCATTTTCTTGAAGCTAAAGATTTTCTCGACAGTGCTGGGAGAAACTATAGGCCCCCCGACACGGCGATACCGGAGGACCTAAGCATTCGCACATAATTGAAAAGTCCTTCTTCAACGGCAGAAAATTTGTTTCAGCAAGCGCACACTCTCTTTCTTTCAGACCGAACGCACCCATCGTCACATGTTCGAAAACTTCACACTGAAGCTCTTGGCAGTGGTACAATTCCAGTGTTCTTCGGCAAACTTCACAACAGCGAGCTTCAATTTTGCCTGGTATATAATTACTGCAAGCGATCGCAAGATAACAGTAAAAACGCGAAGGACAGATGGCGAAACCTAAAGTTTTAAAATCAACTAAACATGCGTTGCAGTGCAGATACAGAGAACGAGGGGAACAGTTGGCACGACAGGCCCGACAGGCCCTCGCACACCTCTGGTGCTGAAAGTTGTTCGTGCCATGACGTGAGGGTGCATTCACATGGTGGTAGAGATGGAGAGATAGAGAGGGACAAATGCTCGAACAGTTCCGGTGACCCGTCAACAGGTTTGAGTGTTCGTGCACAGTATTCTAGGGACCCTAGTTTGGGGGAAGTCTTCAGAAAAAGTAACTTTGCACTCGCAGCCCGTCTGATGCGCTCGCCTTGCCCGCCCATCCAAAGAATCCACAAGTCCACAGTCTCTTCGTGCGCGCTGGTGAGCTGGCTCGGCCAGGTTGGGGAGCGCAAAATATGCGAGTAAATATTTTTTTTTTCTTAAAACTGACAAAATATTAGGGGTGTGCAAATTATGCGATGGCACAAATTATGCAAGTAAAACGGTAAATAGCTCAAGTTAATGTAGATTCCACTACATCCAATAGGGTATCCAGGATTATAGCTTTTGAGAGGTCAATGGGGAGTGCCTTTTCTCTCTTTTTACAGGCTTCTAGGGGAAGAAATAGAAGGAGGTGGGTCAGAGTTCTTCTAGGGATGGGTGTAGGGGGGTGTTTAAATCTGACTATACATCTTTTAAGAACTGAATTGTAACCTTATGGCTACTTATGGCTACATGACAAAAAAGAACATTGACTATGCTGTTGTGTAAATTTAAACTCAATAAACAGAATAAAATATTTTTTCTTGATCATCTGGAATAAATCACTAATGCCATTTTTGATATAAAATTCCTAAATGACACTGTTTTATGGTTGGTGTGAAATATAATGCATTTAACAAACTTTTCCTCGTTTGCATGCTACATACATATGTGCAAACTTATGTGCACACACACACACATGCACACATACATGATGTTTCCCTTGAGACAATACCAACTACTATAAAGATTTCATGGCAGTAAGGTGCCTGTTGTCTACACAAATGAACTTCACGTCATGAGAAAAATACTTTGTTGCTGCTAAGGTTCCATTGAGGAGACTAATCACCAACACTTATTTACTTTGGTATGATCAACTTGAGGGCAGTAGTCTCTGAAGAAAAGTTGTAGGAAGTCACAATTCATGAATTTTTTTAGAAACCAGAATACTTTTATGTGATTTGAGATGTTCCATATCAAATTTCAATGCCCTGAGTCAGGCGAGAGTGAAATCTTGGCTGGTTCAGGGCTTCCTTCTCTGGTAGATGGAAAAATTTTGCCTGGTGGACCTCTAGTGGGTGAATCTTCCCTGGTTCTACCAACATCTACACATAGTGTAGGTTTCAGCAGAAGGCTCTAGTGTAGGTAAGTGTAAGTGTTTGTAGGCAATACCCTGCATTAGGCAGGAAGTGGGGGTAGAAGGAACGAGGGGTCTCTTTTCCAGAAAATTCCTGACCGTCAAAAATAATATCTGGGCTTTACATCCCAAAACCTCAATATGATTACGAGAGATGACTTAGTGAAAAGCTGCGCAAGTTTTGACCATCTGGTGTTGTTTAACATGCCCTGACATCGTACAGTTCACAGACCTCTACCATTTTGCCTCCACCAAAATGTGACTGCCATGGCCAGGATCGAACCTGGGACCTTTGGGTCAGCAGCCGAGCACCGTAGCCACTGATCCACCGTGGTGAACAGTTCCAGACAGTTCCCAGCGGTCAAAGTTATGCATTTATTTGGTGTACTAGTGTAGATAGGAGGCCCTAGTGTAAGTTTATAAAGAAGTCTCTATTGTTTATAGGTTTAGGTGTAGGTAGGTGATACCTTCCACTGGGCAGGGGGTGAGAGGTGTCTCTTTCCCAGTATCTGACAGTTCCTAGAAGTCAACATTACATATTTATAGAATGCTCTTGAGGGAGCACATTTGCGGGGTGTTTTATTTTTTTAGACAATAATACAGTTTTAGAAAAATTCTGTGACAGCTAGGTTCCAGTAGTTAGTCCACATGAACTCTATGTTGATGTAGAAATACTGTCCTGCAGCTAAAATGACGATGGCAGAAATAATGAACAAAAGCTCATTAACTTTTTAGATATTGACTTGAGAGCAGTTTTTTATACAGAAACTTGTGGTGCACGACAATTTATGGCATGCCCATTTTTTAAAAATCACTAA